TGAGAAATAAATTTCTTTAAACCGATATTGAACGACGAGTGAATGCAGGAAATAAAGTATATGGGGCTCTACACTCTATTGTGAAAAGTCAGAATGTGTCAAAAAAGGACACGTATGGCAATTCACAATGCTGTATTAGTCTTTACTTTAACATATGGTAGTGAAAGTTGGGTGTGGCAGAAGAAGCAGGAGAGTAGAATAAATGCAGTAGAAATGCGGTCGCTAAGGAGTATGTTAGGGCTGAATCTGAGTGACAAGGTAAGAAACTGTGTGATAAAAGAAGAGTGTGGTTTGCAAGATGATGCAGTGACCAGGAATAAGAAAGGAATGTTCGGTGGTTTGGTCATGTAGAAAGAATGAATGCGGAAAGACTGACAAAGCAAATATATGTTGCAGAAGTGAATAGAAGAGTCGGAAAGGGACGTCCTACGCGGAAGTTTGTTGACCAACTTGGCGATATACTAAAAATGGGTCAAATTAAGAGTACCCTTAACCGACGAGCATGTATGCGTAGGTATATGGATGTGGAAGAGGCAAGAGGTATGTCAGGATCGTGCTAAATGGAAGTCTGTAGTCTCTGCCTACCCCTCTGGGTGACAGGCGTGAGTGTTTATATTATTTAAATTTACCAGTTGTTAAGTCATCCTCATCATCATCATCATCATTACAGCCCTTTCAAGTTTACAAGTCCACTGCTGAACATAGGCCTCCCCCAAGGAATGCCACAAGGCACGGTCCTGAGCCACCTGCATCCATCGACTTCCTGCATGTCTTACCAGGTTGTCACTCCATCTAGTGGGGGGTCGCCTTACACTTCGTTTACCGGTACGAGGCTGCCACTCGAGAACCTTTTTTCCCCAACAGTTGTCGGTTCTTCGAGCTATATGGCCGGCCCATTGCCACTTCAGCTAACTAATCCGTTGTTACGTTGTTAAGTAAGCACATAAAATACCTTTTTGGATTACTTTTCATTTTAGTTAAAGGGTTTCGTTATATTATATTTTGATACTGTTGCTCTTATGATTTATGAAGTTATTAGGTTTTAATAATTATTCTTTTCTAAGTTTCTAAATTCGAGAGAGAGAGAGAGAGAGGGTCGCGTACCTGATACTCAGAATCACCAAACGTTATTCGCTGAAGGTCATACAGGTTTACGCACGACCAACCTACGTTACATACGCACCAACCTCGGCACATCCCGATGAGGAGGTGGAGGAAATATATGAGGTTATTTCCAGAGCCATGCATTGCTCCACAACCCGCTACACGGTGTTGCACTTCAACGCAAAACTAGGAACTTTTTATGTTCTCCCAATTAAAATGTTACGAAGTTTCTGTGACGGGGAATAAAAATAACGTTATAATAAAAAAAACGTTTGCCGTTAAAGAATTTCGCGACCCATCTAGTGAGTTACGCGAGTCGATTTTAGTCGATCAACTGCTAATTGAAAGCGATTTGTACCATCTGGACATACTTTAAATCAGATTTAAGCAACAAAAATCGGTTCATTAAAAGTTTGCCACATTTTTACTGCTTTTTATTCAAATTTTTTTGTCGAAAGCGATTCGGCCTGTCTGTGAACTTGAAGTCAGTGTAATAATTTAAATCCAATCACGAGTTCATTACTGACGTTTTCTTTCCAGGTTTCGTCGTTAATCGATATTTCTCTACTTAGTCAGTAAAAAAAAAACACAAGTATTCAATTTATCCTACCTGATTTATTCACTTTCCGCCAGCTTTATTACTAATATTGATTCAGTTTTGATTTAACATCTGAACGTGTTCATTCAATTTTTTTTTTAATTATTCTAGGCAACTAATGTCTTAAGTCGTTAGAATTCAATATATCAAAAAACACAACGAGTATAAAAAAATGTATCAAATAAAAGAAAGTTGTGTAAAAACAAATATAATTTTCTCAAATATTACAGCTATCTACAAAAACATTATCTAAGTATAAAATTTCATCCAAATCGCTATAACCATTTCTGAGAAACTAATTTGAAACGTGGTATCAAATAGAGTAGAGCCTTGCTGCAGCTACATCAGTAGTATAGTCGTAGCAAGAAAGGGTCGACTCGACCGCGGAAAGACCACGCTCTCACGGAATACCAGCGTAAAATAGCAGCTTAATGCTGCTGTGTTTCGTATGGTGAATGTAGAAATCCGGAAAACCTTTTTTACTGGAAACGAGGCATTCCATCTTAGTCCTAAGGGGTGACAACGCATCTGTGTTTTGATTCTTAATCAAGAATAGATGTAAATGTCTATGGATCACAGCAACCACTTACCACCAGGTAGATAGTGTGCTCGTTTGTCACCCTTATCTTATTAAAAAAAAATACATTTAAACCTATGTACCTACCAAAATAGTGGTTGATCCATATGTTTTAGTATTAAGACACTTATTAATGTTATTTTTTCGAAACATAAATTCGTTAGTAACCAAGGTCATAAAAAACTAAATTAAAAACTAAATCCAATTTTTTAACCTCACATTTTTCGGCTACTTGAAAAACGAGGTTTAGAGCTAGTTTCACCATACGCTGTTTGTTAGTTTTAACATCCAATTAAATAGATAACAGCCCGTTAAGCGTAGTGAGTGTTTCACCACGTACTAACGAATGGTTAATTCTCTTAACAAGGCGTTAAACTTAATCACTGCTCCAAAGGTCCGTTAATGCTTTTAAAGGCTGTCAAATTGGTCAGTTGGTCAAATGAAATGGAAGCGGCGTATAATTTTATTTTTGAACACGAAAATGATGATATTTTAGAAAATTTAGAACGTTTAGATAATATTGTTTGACGTCCTAAAACATATAAAGAGCGACGTGATTATTTTGAAGAATATGACGATGTAGATTTTACGACAAGGTTCCGTTTGACGAAAGGATCTTGTATGAATGTTTTGCAAATGATTGAAGATAAACTTGAATATCCATCAAATCGGTGAGTACCTTCTTTAACATTACCTTATTTTGTGAATTGTATTAAAAATTGCTTGTTTTGTTGTCTAGAACAACTTCTTATGTAAGATGTTTATTATTAGGTATTAAAATGTTGGGATGCTAATTATAATATAGTTTAAGAGCTCACACATTGTTTCCCCCTAGTAATAAGATCACTCCACCATCTCTACCGTGAATGTTACACAAACCTTCTAAAAGAAGAATAATTTGTATGATGGGCATGGATAAAGCTAACCTAAAATTTTGTTTGCTTACAGAAACAAGTCGATTTCGCCAAGAAACCAACTTCTTTTAACTTTAAGATATTATGCTACTGGTTCACAACAAATAACTATGGGTGATTACTGTGGAATGAGCAAGTCCACTTCTCACAGAATTATAGATAGAGTTACTGCGGCTATACCGTCACTCAGTCGACAGTTTATAAAATTTCCCGTCTCAGAAGAAGAATTAAAAAAAGAACAATTACAATTTTATAACATAGCATGCTTTCCTAAGGCACTGGGTGCTCTTGATTGTACACATATACGCATTCGTTCTTCTGGTGGGGAAAATGGAGAACATTTTAGGAATAGGAAAGGATACATGTCTATAAATGTGCAAGCAATAGGAAATGCTAACTTAGAAATTTTAGATTTGGTGGCGAGATAGCCAGGAAGTAGCCAAGATCAAAAATCAATGTTTGGAACGGATCCTACAGAAGCACAATATTTGAAAGTGGTCGATACAGTGATGCCTTTCTCTTAGCAGACAGTGGTTATATGAACCGACCATACATTATGATGCCACTGCAGAATCCAATAACCCCAGAGGAGAGATTGTACAATGAATCTCAAATAAGAAGCAGGAACCACATTGAACGCCTGTTTGGAGTATGGAAACGTCGATTCCCAGTACTTGCATCAGGTATACAAGTACAGTTAAAAAATTGCCTTCCTATAATTGTTACTACGGCTGTGTTGCACAACATCTTAATAAAAGCAAATGAAGATTTGCCATCTGATGATCCAGAAATAAAACTACCTGCTCCTTGGGAAGATTTAATAGAACAAGGGCATATTAGAGAGCACAGATATAGTGATAACATAAACAGAGACATAAATCCTGTGCGCAGAAGTCTTATTAATAATTACTTCAGAAGTTCGTATTTACAATCATTATAAATAAAAGTCATTTTATAGTATAACCTCCTTTTTATTTCTTATTTACATTATTAACATTTTTTGCTACAGATAACTGTAATTCTAACAGTTCCTTTTTTATTCTCTCTTGTTTAAGTTGGTCATCGAGCAATAAATTTTTTTCAGCCTCAATTTGTGCATTTATTTTCAAAATTTCAACTAGTTTTAACTTGCTAGTCAGTAAACTGTCGGCTATTCAAGTCCTTGGTCTTCTCCTGTGAAGCCATGTTGGGCTCCTCTTTTTTTTTTTGTAATTAGTGCATCCAACATTTTGGTTTTAAGTGCAGCTGGAGACCAACCATGCCAAATATTATCCTTATCCTAAAACAAAAAGTAGGTTTATTATATCCCATCATCCATCCATGATATCTGTAGTCTAGGCTATCTTCCATGGGTGCGGTGAAAAAGTGATGAATATTTGTAATGAGATAATTACCTGAACTTCACGACGACTTCAGCCATCAAATGTTTCCTTATTTAACTCCTCTGATTCAGCCTGAGAGCAATTCAGTCCCGAGTAACCAACTTGGTCAATCTGAAAATAAAATATATATTAGAAATAAAAAACTATCCATATTAAAATACATTTTTATATATCATAAAACAAAGTCTGTTTGGGCTAATCTGAAAATCTACTTTAAACTTGTTTCAGTTGTTATAATTAAGTTGTTAGTTAAACTCATCCATGAAAATGTGCAATAATAAGTGTCTAATTTATTATAGCACATTTACATGGATTTTATGCACACGTTCTGTGTTAAAATATACACTATTATACGTTAATTAAAGGCCATAGAGAACTGGCTAGTATGTTTATAATTACCACAGTTGAACAGCCAGGTACTGCATCTAATAATATTCAATCGGTAATATTTCTGTTGAATCTTCCTTCACTTTATTAGATGCTGTGACAGACTCTTGAAATTGACCATCGCTATCAAATTCGTTTGCAAGACCATCCAATGTTGGGCCAAGTAATATTTCTACTTGCTCTTGTAAAGGCCCTGGTGGTAGATGATTGGGCCTGCCTCCACCTAGAAATAGCAAAGTATAGATTATAAAACAGAGTAAACACTAAAAAGGAGCGTAAGTAGTCACTAGGCATCACTACAATCATTTCTGTTCGCAGACTAGGAAACCACAGAATGAATTTTGGTGAGAGTTTGCAGTCAAGAATAGTTAGTTATTCGAAATAAAGGTAATAAATTATTACTGCGCTAGAATTTTTGAAAGTATAACGTGTTATTAAGTTACAAATAGATCATACCTGTTAAGAAAATCTCCTTCTTTGTGGCAACTTTGTCTTTCCTTGTCGTTCTTTTGAGGTTATCCCAACACGTTCTAAGTTGGTCCGTCTTTCGGACATTGAAACTGCTCAGGGAGTTGAATTCTTCCGTGAGCACCTTCCAACCCTCATTTTTATGAGCAATCGTCACAGCATCTGTTTTTTTGTTTTCTACGACATGTTTATATTTTAGGATAAGTTCTATTAAAATTTATTTTTCACTGGCGCGGAAATTAGGACTGCGACTTTTTTTCGACATATTAAAACACAAATTAAGTAAAACTTACTAATTGAAAGAATTAAAAATCACCACACACAGAACAAAATCTACAAGCGCGAAACCGAAAACATATGACGTTTTAGACGACCAACATAGAATTATACTGTCTACAGAACATTTTGTATGGGCACCATGACATTTTGATTTGCCTGCATAATAACGAGAGTGAAGTGTGATAGAATAACAAGTCAAACTGGTCGTTTTTGTTCACTCGATCACAGATAATATCTATTTGATGTTTGATTTAGCAACGCCTTGTTAGGATGCGTCTATAGAACGTAAACGTTTTTGACGTCGACGTCAATTTTAACAGAACATTTGTTAATGGCTGATTAAGAATAGTTTGGTGAAATCGGGTCTTAATGTTATTAGCTAAAAAAGCAACTACGTCGAAAAATCAAAACTGTTCATCAATCATCATCAAACGTCTGTTTTCAAAAACTTGTTGATCAACCTAGCATATTTGTTTTGATTGTCTATCAATAAAACAATAATTTTATTTAAAAATATTTTTTTCGTGGAGAAATCCTCATGGATACCTTCCGCTGCGTGGGCAACGAAAGGTTATGCTCGACTACTACCATCTAAAACCCCACGGTGGTCATCATCAGCGTATATGAGGGGTCCCGGGATCTCTGGAATGCAACTGGGGCCCCTCTCTGGCTTTGCGATATTTTATTAAAGTCGTCGTCCCTGTAGCAAAACTTTCAGCCCCCATCACCATCGTAGTGATATCACGATGTCTCAAAACCATTTTTGAGACATCTTCCTCCACTGGGGTTACATCACTAGGCGTTCGGGGCACCCGCCCCGAGTGCCCGTAATCCGAACAGACTGTCCAAAGGTGAAAAACGAGTCAGGATGTTCGCCGCCTCAAACGAAATTGGGCGGAATTCCTCTACAATCCGTATAGCCATTTTCCTACACGCTGCACACTGTAGATTTGTCACCAACGCCACTCCATCCTGGGATACTGCATGTTCCGACGGAGAGATTTAAAAAAAATACGTGTGGCACTCGGTGACTGCCGCGGTAAAGCTATTGCATAGCATTTTTTATCAACTTATGCAATTTAATTATTTATTTATTTTATTTATGCAGTTAAGTCTTTGATATTAAATCAAGTTACACTTTTTGAGCGCGGTGACTGATAAGAAAACAATTTTTTTTTCTCTTATTGAATAAATGAGAAGTTAATATTGTTTAAAATATTTTTAATATCTTACAATACATGTGGGTTATTCAAGAATTTTTATCATTGAGTTAGCAGCTAATTTGAAGTCTGCCGAGTGCCGAAGTCTGCCGAACTGAAACGACATTAGACGATGCACGGCTTTCAACGCCACACCTCCGTGCCCGTCAGAGTGGGGAGCGTGAGGTTTTTTTCGTTACGGAATTTCTGGATTCGGTCCCCGCGCTCAAGGCCCGCGATAGAAGCTATGCAATAACTTAAAAATAACCTAATCAAACATTTTCGACCAAATCTTGCAGCAAGCAAAACATTTTATTAGTCTATATAGATTTATTTTGGAGCTGTGTAAGTTACAATACTTAAGGTAAGAATAAAGCAGACCTGCCTATTTTGCAAGATTATAATTCGGCGCGATTACACTCTAACACATAGATTCTAGAGCTCTGTGACAAAATTACCAATTATATTGCACTGGCCTATTTTTCAAAAATTAAGTCCTAGCTAAATGGCCTTTTCCATCTCGTAAGCCCCTACTTCGCAGGTTTGATGCTAGAACAAAATAAAAGTATTTTAAAATAGATATATAGTGCCCGTCCTTAAAGATTGATGATCATTACTAGCCTAGTTCGTACTGAATATTCGTTCATTGTATATAATGTTACCCGATAATTTTGGGTGCGTCCGTTAGTACTTCCGTAACTCCCGAATGACTGGACAAATTAATTTCATATTTACACAGTATGTTTACTTCATGAAGATGATGCGTCATTGTAGGATCTGACACGGGCGTGTTGTGCGAAGAAGCCTACGGAATATCTTATTCGATTACTGCACTATGTAATTCTGGCAAGCATTTGGTAGTAAACTATACAGCATTCAGCAAACCGTCGACTGGCGTTGCGTTTCTGAATCGTATACGTATGCTAATATTGCGTTTATCAGTTCTATCAATTTCAGTTTTTCACTCTTTACAGACTGATGAGAGAGAGAGAGAGATAGAGCGAGCGAGAGAGAGAGAGAGAGTTTACTTATGTGTTTTATACAACTTATGTTGGAGAATAGTAATGGCGTAATTATTCTCATTGATATTTCCTTGGATTTTTCGTGAAGAAAAATTAGCAAACTAAAATTAGTAAGGTAAAACCATCAAACAATAAAAACTCTTTTTGTAGTTGGAATGTACGCTTTGATTTTAGTCATCAATTAAAGACAAGGCGGGCACAAAGAGATCAAACAGATTGGGATACAAAGCGATCCGAAATTAGGGGCGAAATAAAACACGGAAATGGTAGAATAAAGAAAACGCTGCTAATTCTATCTGGTATTAACAATTTTTTTACTGAACAAAATTTCTGATAGTTATTTTCTACCAAGTCTTTGAAGGATATTTAATTAAGCTCATCGTTATTACATTGCTTCCGATATTAGAAACTAGACAATACGTGTTTATTGAAATTTTAAATTAAATTCAGCATAAGGCGTTCCATGTAACGAACTTCAAAACAAGAGCTGGCAAATTTGCATTTTCATTGTAATAAATGATAAATTTATACCAGAGCTTTCCATTAATATTGGATGGTACAGTCCATCCTGTTAATGACTATAGATGCAACCAGTGCATGTTCAAGGTCTGTTGGAATGTTCAAAATTATGAAAAGTAAAGTTTCGCATATATACGTATATGAATAATCCTCTCGTAATGAATATTTTAATCAATACAATATATTTTAAAGCTTACGTTTGTTAAAATTTTTGTTATATTTTAAGCCTTTATTAATAAAAATAAACATTTCTATAATTATTACTTAAATGGCTGTTAATATAAACATAATAGCAATTTGCTTTTGTGTAAGTCTTGACAGGTACTTTGAAAACAGCATGATTTCACTTAATTCATTAAATCCCATCACATGTCTTGACTTAGATACTTACCCCCACAGATTGCCTCATGCATGTAGTTAAAACGGGAAAGCTTCCCTATGTAGAGCAGTAGATATTTGATACACTGATAATTGTAATGGTAATTAAGTTGTTATCGGGAAGATCCTACTGCCAATATCTCATTTCAGTTTCCCTCTATCGTCTCTTACGACATACACGCGATACGGGGAAGTGGATTACCTTATTATCGTCACTTCACAGTAAATAGTAAATAAAAAATAACGTTTAATTATTGATCTAAGTAGTTCCTAGTAAAGTAGTGATTTAAACGTCGATGAATGAGTTTTATCATTATTGTCCATATACTCAAATGCTACTCAATTTTAAGATGTCGTTAAATCTTGTTTTGCCTTTATCATTTTAGTGACTGTAACACCACGAGACTTAACGAAATCTTAAAATTAAGTATTGTTTGAGTATTTGACCATAAGACAAGCACACAATTTAGAAACATTTGTATATGTGACAACGATATCACTAAGGTTTATGTTAATACAGTCTGCAGAGGAAGTTGTCGCGTTCAATTTTCTTGCTGAATGTTTGAACGGTAAAAGTCCACTGTAGGACATGTGAATCCACCGTTAAAGAATTCACTGTAATATCGGGTATCAGTCACGGCGGCTAGTCTGAACGGACACTAGCAATCTGCGCAGGACAGGATAACTGTGCTCGAGGTTATCAAGTACAGATGCACTCCACCCCTCATACTTAAATTCCGACGGGACGATAGTTCAACACGACCGGAGTGATGTCAGCTGTATTATCATCGGCTAAACGTGCTTTCAGAGACACGGGGTGAAACCCTCCAACTTCCTGACTCTGGGCTGCTACACTGAGAATTTTTAAACGAAAAATAAACTCAATAACTAACTTTGGTCCGACCCGGGATTCTAAACTGCAGCCTCATGATCAGCACTAGACTAATGAGGCAGCCAATCCAAAATCGAACAGACATAGAGAGATATTATGTAGTATCATGCAATTCGTAGCACGTTGCACTCGTTTCACTTAGTTTATAGTCACAAGTTTGGGCACGTTACGTCATCATATTGTCAGCTGTCGGAAACTATAAGAATTTCTCTGGCATTTCATATAGTTTCTTCTTACGACACTCATGGAACTAAATTGTGATATTCACTTAAGCTGCAACTACACGACCAGATATAAAAGTAAGGTAACGGATAAAGTAAGTATACTTATTTAATTATGCAGACTCCAGATATGCTCATTATTTGCCTAAGTAAGTGTGGCAAGGTTAAGCAAATATTTCAATCTACACGCGACAGCCAGTAAATTCAAAAAAATTTATAAATATTAATAAATAACTAACTATATTTAAATTTGCAATCTACTAATAACTTATTAATAATAAATTATTAAATATAGGCACGCCATAATAGCCGTCTGTCCTTATGAGAGATATTTTGATTCACCTCTGGAATTCTGTGTTGACATACACCCATATGTATGTAACTGCGTTCCGTGGCTTTTTTTTTTTTTCGTGTGCTTGGTCTTTTTGTGTGTTGTGGACTGCGTGGGGGCGTGCGTGCGTGCGTGCGGCGGCGTGCGTGCGGCGTGCGTGGGGGGGGGGGGGGGGTGGGTGCGTGGTTGGGGGGGTGGGTTGGCTGGTGGTGCTGCGGTGCGCGGGCGTGCGTGCGTGCGTGCGTGTGTATGTGTTATGTATGTTTTTGTATGTATATATGTTTGTGTAGTAATCGCGTGAAGCAGCTATCCGCAGTTTCCTAGTGATTGTGCCTGGGAATCGCAGAGGACCGCATCGCAGCCGTTGGAGTGAGGATCGCCATTTGGAGTATCGCAGGTAAGCGTACAGGTGGGTTATTAGCATGCAATTACCCACATATTCTTCGTTATTTATCAATTTCCCTTGAACCAGCTTCTACTAGAGACCAGAACTGTCGAAAGAGATTATACTATATATTCTGCCTACACTACCTGTGACATTCCGCATCATCAAATAGCCCATACCGTCTATTGGCCGCAAAATATATTTGGAACCGAAAATTCTCCAAGAGTCTGGTATTCGAGCCGTATCCTCTAAAATATTTTGTCGGTTTTGTGTAAATTGCTTTATAGAGGCGGCGTAAAAATATCCACTAACCCATTGAATAAAACTATTTATATGAATTTTACTGCGTTTTATTCACTTATTTTTAATTCTTGACGTTATCAGTGCTTTACAGCACCTATGGTCAGGGGGGGGGCTAAGATGTTTGACATTCATACGTGGTAGAGCCATGCTGAGGTGTGTTGGGAGGGGAATGGTGGGTGGGCTTGTGGCTGGCGGGTGGATGTTTGGGCCAGCCTTAGGTGGAGTTTTCTATCCAATGTCATATATAGCCTGGCTACCTTCTGTTTTTCAATATTAATTTTTGGTCCGGTCTATGCAGATTGAGCTTACAGTATCTTTAAGTCTTGCAGTGGTGTGCTCAGATTTGGATTTCGTTTTGATAATTATAGGATCCCAAGAAAATAACAATACCCATCCATCTTCTCTACTGAAATTAGGATGCTTTTAAATTTCAATAGCTGCGCGTATCATCCTATGTAGAAATCGGTGTTCTTTTGTGAGGATTTCTGGTTTATTAAATCTGATGTAATGATGATCTTGAACATTTTCACAGACTGCAGATTTTCCGGACCGTCAATGTTTTACGTTAGCTGTATGTTCTTTCACGTGGATTTTTATAGATATTTTTGTTTGCCCTGTGTAAGAGGTACTAGCTAGATTGTGAATGTGGTCTACATTCACAATCTATCTTCCGTCGGACAACCAGACGTCTGGACAGTCTCCACCCTTTCGTTGTTGACTTACCACACATTCTAATCAAACGGATTGCTTTCTCGTTCATCATACGTACAGCAAAGGAGTGAAATAAATTTCCAGCATCTGCCTTTCCATCTGATTACAGTTTGGGTGTCTTCAATGCAAGAGTGAATATGCTTTTGTTAAATCAGTGCGCTTTATCATCTTAAACTTCATCACCACTTACCATAAGGTGGGATTGTAGCTAAGCGCTGACTTAGAATAATAAAAAAATCTTCTTTGGCGGCTTGTAGTGTGTTTTAATGAAAGCTCGCTTCAAGATGTAACCAACCTTGTCTCTGACTCCTTTGGCATATGGTCATACAACGGACACACGCTCGACTATGTCCGACTTCACTCGGTCACTGTGACGTATACGCGGGACCGAAGCTTGTCGTCTCGCACTTAGAACACTACAATACATAATTACATAATAGAACTAGAGGGAGTATGCAAAGCCCGTGTAGCCACTAACATGTCACTAACGTATCAATTCACACGTATAAATGTCAACACAATCAATTGTTTCGAATTTTTGTGTCAAGCGTCGCTGCATGCAAATTATTTAAAAAATGGAAAATTGTGCAATAATTACGTGTCGAAAGAATAGCGGTAAATGGATGTGTTTATAGTAGTGATAACTGATAATACGACGTAATTGCTTGTATGTGTGCTCCCGGCGATGCCAATCCTCCTACAAAATAAAGTTGACAGCCGTTCTATTGTGTATTATAGTATTCTATGGTCTTGCAATACTTGCTTTACGTGCTGAAGCTCACTGTCAAATACACTCACGCCTAGGCCGTGAATTCATACTTTATGAGTTATCAAAATTAAACTTTATTCCGTTCGAAATTAAGTGTGAATTATTGTATTATTCATATTGGTTTTAATATGTATCCAAATTTATGTGCATTATTGCACTATACTTACAAATAACGCATTCTAAATTCTTTCAAAATCCTATAATATAGATTACACATATACGTTAACTCGTTAACTTGTTAATATGGTAGAGTTACACACCTGCCGACATTGCGCGTGATAAATTTCCTCATCTCGTTGCAGACTTCCCCATTTAGAAAAAAAATCGTGTCGACGTGTTTGATTTAGTGTCGGAAGAGTGATAGTGTAGTAACTTTGTAATAAATTAGAATATATATTGAAATTATATATTTAATATAAAATATGTTGTATTATATTATTCATATTAGTTTATATACATATGTGTAAAATAATAAACTTAGATAAAATAAAATAAACAAATGTGTGAGTCGTCACATACTTTTGATAGGCTGTAATGAATATATTAATGAGCAGCACATTTTCCGTTTAACAACTTATCCCTTATTAATATTTAAATAAAAATTAATGATTGTTTGTTCGTATTTTATGCGCTGCCATAACGTTCATCAGTCTGCGTTAAAACATTGTCAACTTATTGCTTGCACTTGCGCGAAGGTTATAAGCATAGTATAAGTACAGTTAACTTACAGTAGGTGACGCGCGTATCGTACCGATAAATTTATTTGAATGTTATAATATATCATGTAATTAAAATTTATTATCATTAATAATTAAACAATATGACTCTTCCAAATTTAAAACACTATTACCGCAAAAATTTCTTCTGCGGCAGCAACGCGCGAGGTGCCAGCTAGTTTATAGTAACAAGGGACGCTTGACAACCCGCCTGCCAAGTGCGACAACGCCGAACAAAACCCATTCTATAAGGCAATCTATGGTTAAGGCTTATTTTCGGTAGCAAACTTGAAATACCGCTATGGATGGGCTGTGTAAATAAATTAAAACGTAACAAAAGTCTTCTCAAGTTATAAAGCGCCCTCCACATTCACGCCGTGAACTTGAAAGGGTCCGATGTGGATGGCTTTCGCGCCCGTTCACGGGCTTCGCGCCTTTTCACGCCCTGTTCCCCGTTCAGTGTCGGTATTTTGTGCCCGCTTCAAAGGGTTTACGAGGTGTGAACCTCCCGTGAACGCAAGCGCATCCACACTCGCGCGTGAAAACAGTAACGCGCGAGACTCGTTGCTGTGAGGTTGTGCTTATTTGTATTTTTTTACGTAGGACGGTGCGTCAAAATGAGCGTCAGTTGGACGAACGAGCAGGAACTCTTGTTGATCGAGTCTTATCATGCCGAACCCATTTTATGGGATGATAAACACAATATAAATGAAATGCATGACGCATGAATACGAATAAAGGAAATAATGAGTATTATTTTATTTTATCTTATAGGACAGTTTGACAAACGAGCACAGAGTCCACCTGATGATATGTGGATGTTGTGGCCCATAGACATTTACATCTATCCTCGATTGCGAATCCAAATGCAGATGCGTTGTCACCCGTGAGGACTACGATGGAATGCCTCGTTTCCAGTAAAAAGGGTCTCCGGTTCTCTACACTCACCATGCGAAACACAGCAGCATTAAGCTACTATTTTACGTTGGTATTCTGTGATAGCGTGGTCCTTCCCCGGTCGGGCCGACCCATTCGTGCTACAACTATACTACTAATATAACTGCAGCGTGGCTCTGCCCCGAAAAGCGTAGAAGTGACTGATTGAAAAGAAAGTCTAATGTCCAGTTATAGAAATTATAAGAAAAAGGTGAAGTATTCTGAAAGGAATTCTGGAGCAAGCAGCGACAAAATTTACAAGCCCATTTGGATTGCCTTTAACGTGATCAATGCTTTTCTAGGAGAAAGCGATAACTGTAAAAAAAACTACAAATACGGTTTTTTATCTTTTGTATACACGTAATTGTCGTGAGCCAAAGCGCATAGCGTCACGGCAATAGCAGTGCGTATTTCAGCGTCCATTCTCGACGAGCACGCGAACTAAACTGTGAACGATTGCGAATGTGGAGGGATATGTTTTTCGCGAGGACTTCGCGGCAAAATTACGGCGTGAATTCAGGCCGTGAACATAGATAAATAAATATGTAGCAAGCTAGCCGTGAATCACACAGGAGTCTGGAGCCCACATAGCACTAAAAACATTATATTTTACTTACTTATTTTGCGTAAGTTTATTTCTAAAGATATTTAGTGTTTTAACTTACTAAAAATAAGTTGAATTATTGTTTTACCTAGTTGAACTTTGTAGCTTTGCCCATTGTTTTTTGAAGTAACAATAAATAATTATAGTAAAGTATTTCATAATGTTCAAGTTTATAGCGGAACATTTTATGTTCTACCAATTAAAACATTACGAAGTTTCTGTCATGGAAAATTAAAATAACATTAATAAAAAACTTAATGATTTTCTTAGCCTCGAAACAACACACTTAAATTGAGGCCGATTGCCGTTAAAGAATTTCGTGACGCGTCGAGTGGGTTACGCGAGTCGATTTTAGTCGATCAACTGCTAATTGAAAGCGATTTGAACCGTCTGGACATACTTTAAATCAAATTAAAGCAACAAAAATTGACTCAGTAAAAGTTTGATACATTTTTACTGCTTTTTATTCCAATTTTTTGTCGAAAGCGATTCGGCCTGTCGGTGAAGCTGAAGTCAATGTAGTAATTTAAATCCAATCACGAATTCATTACTGACGTTTTCTTTCCAGGTTTTGTCGTTTATCGATATTTCTCTACTTATTTAGTTAAAAAAAAAAACACAAATATTCAATTTATCCTACCTTATTTATTCACTTTCCGCCATCTTGATTACTAATATTGATTCAGTTTTGTATTTAACATTCAGAACGTGTTCGTTCAAATTCGTTTTAATTATTCTATACCAATGTCATAAATGGTTAGAATTCGATTTAATATTAAAAACACAACAAGAACTAAAATGTATCAAATAGTCCTACCTACCTACCTACCTACTTAAATAGTCGTTGATCCATATGTTTTCGGATAAACACTTATTAATGGGTGCGTTTGGCAGAAAAAAGCGCTAGCAAGCGCTTATAAGCGCTAAAATAGTTTTCGGCCAGAACACGATTGCTACTTCAGTAGCGCTGACACAATCCGCGTACATTTTGCTTATTTAATTTGTTTGTTTAGAAGTAGATTTTATAAGTTGTTTTGTGCAATATTAGTTTTAAGTAATATAATGACATGAATAAACATATATATGCTATTAAAAACTCATGATTGGTAAGTTTTTAATATGAATACTTTACAAACATATATTAAAATTAGGTTAGATTCCCCGGTTAAAACTAACATCGTGTCCTGGAGGAAAATAGCTATTTACGATTTAACAGCGCTCACCGCGTACGACGCCATTTTGCTTACAAGCGCTTGCAAGCGCTTTTTTCTGCCAAACGCACCCAATGAGTTATAGAAATTCATTTTAATTTTTTCGAAATTTCAATTCGTTAGTAACCAAGGTCATAAAAAACTAAACCCAATTTTTACCTCACATTTTGCGACTACTTGCAAATTGAGGTTTAAGGTTATTAGCTGAAAAGGTGACTACGTCGAAAAATAAAAACAAATTAACATATAGTTATCCTAGAGTTTACTTCTGTTTTCAAAAACTTATTGATCAACCTAGCATATTTGGTTTGATGTCTATCAATAAAACAATAATTTTATTTAAAAATATTTTTTTTCGTGGGGAAATCCTCATGGATACCTTCCGCTGCGTGCTGCTGCGGCAACGAAAGGTTATGCCCGACTACTACCATCGAAAACCCCACGGTGGTCATCATCAGCGTATATGAGGGGTCCCGGGATCTCTATTTGGAATGAAACCGGGGCCCCTTTCTGACTTTGCGATATTTTAATAAAACCTTGTAAAAGTACAGTACTTTCAGCCCCCAGCACCCTCTTAGTGCTATCACTATGTCTCAAGACCACTTCCGAGATATCTTCCTCCACTGGGTTACATCTCTAGGGGTTCGGGGCACCCGCCCCGAGTACTCGTAACCCGACCAGAACGTCCAAAGGTGAAAAACGAGGCAGGATGTTCACCGCCTCAAGCTAAATCCTCCTGCACACTGTTCACTGTGAAATGGACTTTTCCACCTCGTAAGTATTTTGTAGGTTTGCTGCTAGTACAAAATAAAAGTATTTCAAAATAGATATATTGTTCCAGTTCTTAAAGATTGATGATCATTACTAGCCTAGTGCGTACCGAATATACGTTCATTGTGTGATTATGTTACCCGATAATTGTGGGTGCGTCCGTTAGTACTTCCGTAACTCCTGAATGACTGGACAAATAACCTTAATATTCACACAGTATGTTTACTTCATGAAGATGATGCGCCATGGTAGGACACACGGGCGTGTTGTGCGAAGTAGCCTGCGGAATCTCTTATTCTATCACTGCATTAAATACTTCTGGCAAGCATTTGGTAATAAACTATATATTTTGGAGTATACTATAACAGAAATTAAGCTACTTCAGTTTCGTAAAAGGAATGTACGCCGCCATATTGATGTAATTCTTCTCTGCGCTTCTCAATAGCTTCACTTTGGTAGGCGATCATTTTGAAACAGTCAAACCGTCGACTGGCATTGCGTTTCTAATTTTTACAGACCGATGAGAGAGAAAGAGAGAGAGAGACAGAGAGGGAGATGTTTACTTTAGTGTTTTAAACAACTTATGTCTGAGAACAGTAACGGCGGAGAACAATAATTCTTGGATTTTTCGTAAAGAAAAATTAACAAAATAAAATTAATACGGTATAACCATCGAACAATAAAAATACTTTTTGAAGTTGGAATGCACGCTTTGATTTTAGTCATCAATTTAAAGACAAGGCGGGCACAAAGAGGTCAAATAGATTGGTATACAAAGCAATTCGAAATTAGGGGCGAAATAAAACACGGAAGAAGTAGAATAAAGAAAGCGCTGCTAATTCTATCTGGTATTAACAATTTTTTAACTGAACAGAAATTTCTGATAATTATTTTCTACTGAGTCTATGAAGGATTTTTAATTAGGCTCATCATTATTACATTGCTTACGTTATAAGAAAATAGACAACACGTGTTTATTGAAATATTAAATTAAAATCAGTAAAAGGCGTTCCATGTAACTAACTTCAAAAC